TAGTAGCATAGCAGCAGATCCTTTAAGGGAAAATCTAGATGCTGAACTTGAAAGCTTCCTATATGATGATTGTGGAACTGATAGAGTCGAGTTAAATGAATTGGATAGATATCTAGCAGAGCCACTTTTGAAGCAACACCCGTTTGATATTTTAGCATATTGGAAGATCAATACAGAGAACTACCCTGTTCTTTCACAAATTGCTCGTGATATGATGGCCATACAAGTGTCAACAGTTGCTTCTGAGTCTGCGTTTAGTGCTGCTGGACGAGTCATTGATCCTTACCGTAGTCGTCTTGATCCTGAGATGGTACAAGCATTGATCTGCTCAAAAGATTGGATACGAGCAGCAAAAAAAGGTGGCTATTTAACTAATTTTCAAGTTAAAATGGTACATGAACTGTTTTCTTTACTGATTTGTCTCTCGTTTGTTTTTCAGATCCCAGGTATATTCCTTCAATTGTGGATGATCTAGAACCTCCAGAGATCATTTCTCTCTCTCTTGATAACCCGTTGCATGATGAGAATCAGGTATGTTAATGTATCTACTTCTACTGGCTGTTCCAAATCAAAGCAACACTTGAAATGTCCAAAAATTCAGATCAAAGCATTTGACCTCCAAACACTACTGACTTGCAAGTTGCAACAATCTTTAAAATTGTAGGATATGGAAGGAATGGAAAGTGATCCAGATGTGATGAATGAAGAAGATGAGCTGTGAACTTGTGCCATTGTGTGGTGTCTAGTGTGGATAGTGGATGTGTGGTCCAGACTCCAGTATCATCATTAAGACTTAAGTGTTTAAGATTTATGTCGCTATCTATGTCGTGTCGTGAATTTGTGGACTAACTTGTGAACTACCGGTTGTTGGACTTGTGTGTAAATTTATTATTGTGTCAATTATGGACTTATGATTGTGGTTTTTTTTTTTTTTAAATTTATTATTGTGTCAATTATGGACTTATGATTGTGGTTTTTTGTCATCGTCATACCGCTTTTAATTGCCCGTTATCACCCGTTACCGGTATTATATCCGTTCGTATTAGTTCGTTTCCGTATACCGGGATGTCCCGCATCCGTTCCCGTTCCCGTTCTTTCCCGTTCCCGTTCCCGTTCCCGGTCAAAACATGTGGGAACAGAAACGGTTTAGGGGGTTTCCCGCCCGTTCCCGTCCGTTTTCATCCCTAACCGTTTTGCTTCAAAACATGATGAGGCGATAAATATATGTTATCCACATTAAATAATGGTGTTGTGTTCGAAAACAAGTCTTTCCGGAGATAAGCGTCGATCAACACCTCGCTCGGTGCCAGGCGTCGACGTTGCTTACATTTTCGTACTTGCCCATGTTTACCCTTATTTTCCTCGACTTTCTAAACATGTACCATTTTGTTTCGAAACACCATGGGGCGATAAATATATGTTATCCACATCAAATAATAGTGTTGTGTTCGAAAACAAGTCTTTCCAGAGACGTTGCTTATATTTTTCGTACTTGCCCCTATTTACCCTTATTTTCCTCGACTTTATTAAATGTGTACCATTTTTCTTCAAAACACGATAGAGCGATAAATATATGTTATCCACATCGAATAATGGTGTCGTGTTCGAAAACAAGTCTTTCCGGAGACGTTGCTTATATTTTTTGTACTTGCCTCTATTTACCCTTATTTTTTTTCGAATTTATTAAACGTGTACTATTTTGCTTCAAAACACGATAGGGCGATAAATATATGTTATCCACATCAAATAATGGTGCCATG